CCCTCCCGGCCTCTGCCTGTCCCGGGGGAGGCCGGATCCTGGGCTGTGTCCCGGCGCCCTGTGCTCCGGGGCCTGCGCTGTTGGATTCGCGCTCCCAGCCCCGCAGCCCCCTCCGCGGAGCCGCGCCCGAGCCCCTCCGAGCTGCTCCGGGTCCAGCCGTGCGCGCTGCAGCCCTTCAGGGAGCTCGGCGCACTCTCCGAGCAGGTGCAGGTGTCTATTAGTGTCTGTTAGTGTCCCAGGGAGCCCGAGGGCATCCCCGCCCTCCTGGGTCCTGCTCCACCTCCCTGCGAGCCCCTTTCCGCCCGGGAAGGTTGGTGCAGCTCCTGCTTCTCCGGGACGGGGCTCTCCTGTCCTGGGGACACTCGCCCCGGCCTCAGCCCGGCTCCTCGCGGGGCCCCTCCCCCTCGGAGGCATTTTGCTTCTTTATTTCTTTTTCCCCATCTTCCTACCTTGATAGAAGCGCGAACTCTTCTCACTGTAGCGTTCCAGCTGTTCTCTCTTTAAATCTCAGGCTGAATTCATAGATTTTCAGGATAATTTGAAGGTTTTCTAGGTAATTTGGTGGGGACAGGTGATTTGGGGACCCTACTCTTCCGCCATCTTGCCCCCCGTCCCCCTTTCTAACTTAATCTTTGTCATAGGTGATTCTAGAGAACTTACAATGTACTATGACTTAAAAGGAAAACTTTTTTTTTCCATAGGAATTGTAGCTGTAGGACACATCAATGAAGCTATTGATGAAGGGAATCCTTTGAAAACTTTAGATACTCTGCTGTTACCTACTGCTAAGATTAAAAATGTGGACCCAGACTATGCCCAGCACTACCAGGATGTTTTATACCATGCCAAAACACAGAAACTTATGGTGAGTCTTAATAGGTTTGTTGCTTTTAAGTTTACACAGTGGGTTGGGGAAGGGGAGCTGGGAGGGAGGATTTTCTTTACTTGTTTTTCCTAAAGCTTATGAGCTGCTTGTCCCAGCAAATTGCCTATGGATCAAAATGGAAATAATAAGGCTGTTTTTATCCATGTGTCAAACATGAGTAGGAAGCTGGTTCCAGAGCTAATTGCTACTTCTACTTTAACTAAAAACTCATCGATGGGTGAATTCTTTTTTTTTTAATTTTTTTATTTATTTATGATATTCACAGAGAGAGAGAGAGAGAGGAGAGAGAGAGAGAGAGGCAGAGACATGGGCAGAGGGAGAGGCAGGCTCCATGCACCGGGAGCCCGATGTGGGATTCGATCCCGGGCCTCCAGGATCACGCCCTGGGCCAAAGGCAGGCGCCAAACCGCTGCGCCACCCAGGGATCCCCGATGGGTGAATTCTTGTTCAGAGTTCAAGTCATTGGATATTTACTGAGCACTTACTGTATAGTACAGTGTATAGAATCTGATTGGGGGGGGAGTACAAAGAACACACAACACTTGAAGTTCTCTGTCCTTATCCTTAAGATGCTAAGAAACTGAGGCAGTGGGCAGTCTGGGTGCCTCAGCAGTTTAGCACCGTCTTCGGCCCAGGACATGGTCCTGGAGACCCAGGATCGAGTCCCACCCTTCATGGAGCCTGCTTCTCCCTCTGCCTGTCTCTCTCTCTCTCTCTCACTCTATCACTGTCTGTCTCTCATGAATAAATAAATGAAATTTTAAAAAAAAAGAAACTGAGGCAGTGAGCATTCTCATATACTATAGTTAAATAGCAGTGAGATGAGTATATGTCAAAACAAGTCCTGTATAGAGTGGTTCAGAGACAGTGGATTGTTGTAGACTAGAGTCTCAAGAGGAATGGTCATGGAGATAGAACAGGAGCTGTACCTGAAAGGGAAGGAGTTGCTGGTTAGGTGAGTAGAAAGCAGGATGGTGTAGGCAGGGAATAGGAGTGAGGAGTGTATGAGCATGGTGTGTTCTCCACATGGGAGGAGACTGACCTGGGTACCGACCCCTTAAAAAGAGAGGGTTTTTTCATCACTGCAGGGCTTAAACTGACCATGGGAGAAATTCTACAGACAGCCATTCTTGGAAGGGTACTGAAGGCAAAGTTGATGACTTGGTCTCTGACAGTGGAAGTGATGCTACGTGGGACCTACCCACTTGTAGCTATCATGTTGCCAGGTGCAAGCCAAACCTCAAAGAGGTGGATGTTTCCTCTGTATAGGTCTTCACAACCCAGAGACAGTCTCATCTGAAACATGAAAAATATATTTTCCTAGAGCAAACATTTATTGAGTACCTGCTATTTGCCATTCATGATATTAAATACTTGTATGCATATTATCTCATATAGTTTTCATAATAATCCATAACAACCATATGAGTGATGTCTTTATTATCATCTTACAGATAATGGAATTTAGACTAAATAATTTGTCCAAAGCTATCCAAGAAGTAATTAGTTCTACAACCATGCCCTGGTGTGTCTGATTCAGAAACATATGTTATTGTGCATGGAGGCAGATGGAAAGGATGCTTATTGAACCATTTTAATAGCAAAAGACCCAAAACAATATAAATATTCATCAAGAGGGGGCCAGTTAAGTAAATTGCATTATATTCTTATAGTGAAATACTCTGCAGTCATTAAAAAGAATAAGTGAATTGGGACGCCTAGGTGGCCCAGCAGTGGAGCATCGTCTGCCTTTGGCACAGGGCATGATCCTGGGGAAAGGTGAAAGGGGCAGAAGAAGAGGGAGAAAGAGAGAATCCCAAGCAGAGTCTACACTGAGCACCAAGCCTCATGTAGGGCTCGATCTCATGACCCCAAGATCCTGACCTGAGCCAAAACCAAGGTTGGGTGCTTAACCAACTGAGCCACCCAGGTGCCCCTTTACATTTTTTTAAATGACAAAGACAAAAGAAATCCTAATTTAAAAATCCAGGTGAAGGGGCACCTGGGTGGCTCAGTGGTTGAGCATCTGCCTTTGGCTCAACACATGGTCCTGGAGTTCCAAGATTGAGTCCCACATTGGGCTCCCTGCATGGAGCCTGCTTCTCCCTCTGCGTATGTCTCTGCCTCTGTGTGTGTGTGTGTGTGTGTCTCATGAATAAATAAATAAATTTGAAAAAAAATGGGAGAATCTATATTGGACAATCTTCAGTATATATCTTCAGTATATATATATATATATATATATGTGTGTGTGTGTGTGTGTGTGTGTGTGTGTGTGTTAAAAAAACATGTTTCTTCATGCCTCAGAAATGAGATATACACTGATGGTAAGCATATGCTTGTATGTGCATAAAATATTTCTAGAAGAAAACACCTTCTAGAAAGTGACCTAGGAAGCTGGTTTACATGGGAGACTTTTTTTTTAAGATTTTATTTTAAATTATCTCCATAGCCAACATGGGGCTCGAACTTACAACCATGAGATCAAGAGTCACATGCTCTACCAACTGAACCAGCCAGGTGCCCTGGGAGACTTCATTTTTACTCCATTGTTATGCTGTTTGGATTTCATTTTTTATAGAGTGCATATATTACATCCTGAATGTTTCTAAACTTAAAAAACAAAACAAAAAGCAGTGTAAACAACTCAAAAATGCTGTTTCCCCCCATAATTTAGTTTGAAATAGGACCTACCAGCCCAGTCAAGGTGTTCCATTCAAAGCAGCCAACTTCCATGTAAGTTATTAGAAATATTTTGTCATGGAACGCGTAGGTGGCTCAGGGGTTGAGTGTCTACCTTTGGATCAGGTCATGATCCTGAGGTCCTGGGATCAAGTCCCGCATCAGGCTCCCTGTGAAGAAAAAAATTATATTATTTGTATTGTCTGTATAAAGTTTGTGTGAAAGTATACAGCTGTTAAAGATCACAATGGGAAGGAGCCTCGGTGCCCATCGAAAGATGAATGGATAAAGAAGATGTGGTCTATGTATACAATGGAATATTCCTCAGCCATTAGGAACGACAAATACCCACTATTTGCTTCGACATGGAGGGACCTGGAGGGTATTATGCTGAGTGAAATAAGTCAATCAGAAAAGGACAAACATTATATGTTCTCATTCATTTGGGGAATATAAAAGTTAGTGAAAAGGAGTAAAGGGAAAGGAGAGAAAATGAGTGAAAATATCAGTGAGGGTGACAAAACATGAGGCACACCTAACTCTGGGAAATGAACAAGGGGTAGTGGAAGGGGAAGTGGGCAGGGGGTGGGGGTGACTAGGTGATGGGCACTAAGGGGGGCACTTGGCGGGATGAGCACTGGGTGTTATGCTATATGTTGGCAAATTGAACTCCAATAAGAAAATTTTTTTAAAAATCACAATGGATAGGGACTGCATGGAACTTATAGCCAGGTTTAAGAAAAACTGAGGACAATGATGTAAGTTGTTGAGAATTCTTGATCCTTGTTAACAGTATTTCAAGTGGAACCTTCCTGGGCACCAAATTCCTTTTGTCTCATGGAGAAAAGTTGGGTAATGGGCATGTTAGCACATACTTAGTAGAAATCACATTTTCTATGTTCACTAGAGGTAGTAAATTCTGAGCTATTTTAAAATCAAAGACTTTCCTTGAGAATTTATGAATTAGACCTATAAAAAGTTTGGTTTTACTACTTGTATATTTCATGTGTAAGAGATGTGTGCTTTTAACAAGTCAGTATTGCTGCATTTTTCCCCCTGTGTGGAACTGTATTACACTTGATGACTTTATTTGCAGAAACCAATTCCTTTCATTGAAGTTTCATCATGTTAAAATTTATTATAGATTTCTTTTTCTTTCTAAAAGATTTTTTTTTAATTTGAAGTAATCTCTACACTCAACATACCTCTATAACCAACAGGAGACTCAGATTCACAACCCAGGGATCAAGAGTCTCATGCTCAACCTACTGAGCCAGCCAGGCACCCTTAGGTTTCTTTTTCTTGATCACTGTAGTGTTTAACTGATTTTTTTTCTTCATGTAACCACATACCTACTGTAAAAAATCTTCATGTGTGTGGTTTTTGAACCACACCTAAATCCAATGAAATAGGAAACTGCACAATAAAAACATGCATTTAAAATTCTTTATTGTTTTGGTAATTATTACAAAGTATATAAAGTATATAGTCTATGCACATTCCCATAAACTTGAACATTTATGTCAACAGTCCTTCATACCCTTAACCACATTATCCCATCTTCTATCTAATCCCTAAAGTGAAAGAAATGTCATTGACTTACAGGAATATACTAGGCATTTATAACATACTATTTCCCCATGAAAAACTACATATGAGGAAAAAATATTGAAGGTATTATTTTAGACTTCTAAATGACTTCATGAATGTGTTCTAGTTTAGCTTATTTTTTTTACACGCCCAACTAAAAATGATGTCCCACGTCATACAGAGTACCTTGCCTTCTCAGTAAGAATTGAATGAGCTCTCAGATGCTTAGATGTTTTGGAATTTCATTTGTTCACTCAGCAGCGTGATATACAAAGCATGGGTCTGGACTCCACAGACCCCGAGAAGACTTGGGTCTACAAGAAGCTAAAGAAGGAAGAGGATGAGCCCCTTCTTTACATGGTGCTTAATAAGTGTTAATGAAATTAATATCTGCATGTAAAGAAACTACATCTAAGTGTCAGAATAAAAATACAAGAAAGGGAGATGAGAAAAAGGAACTCCTAGTTTGACAGCCAGAAGAACAGTCCTTCAAAGGCTTTAAGAGATGAAAATAATTAAGGCAAACATGTTAAAAATAGCTTTACAGTTAGAGGCAAGAGCAAAGAGCAGAGAAATCAGGATTACAGCAAAGCAAGAAGTTTGGCTAGTGCCATCTTGGCAGGCAAGGTTTGTTGGGAAGCAAAGTTGGAAAGTTATTCCTGAATGCCAAGCAATAGATTTATAGTTTATCCCAATGCAGTGGACAGTCAGTGGCAGTTTTTGAACTGGGGATTTTGAAGGATGTGCTCAGTCTGCTCTCTGAAGAAGATTGCTCTGGCAGTGGCCGATGAAATGGAGGGTAGGCTGGCAGTGAAGAGAATGGCAAGAAGGCAATAGTGGGACTAAGATGATGGACCCCAGTGATAAAAATCCTTCAGAGTGAGCTGGCGAGGCAGCCACCAGCAATGAGTGTCAAAGGAGACAGAAGAACTAAAAATGATGCCAGATATTGAAAACAGATCTTAGCTTCTCCCTGTGCTTCATCCTATTCCACCTCCTCCGCCAAGACATCTAGAGTAGAAACCTCATGAAGCGGGGAAGACAGAGACCTAAAGAGCATGAAGTACCAGTCAGGCGAGTGTGTCAGTTGACCTAAGGAAAATGGTGATATGTTTTCTCCTGTAGTGACATCCTTAAAACACTTTCAAAGTATTAATGTAAAATAATGCTTTTATAGTGTTTTATTCTGCAGCAATATTTCTTAGGAGCTGAAAAATGGAGCTGCAGGATCGAACCCCTTGCCCTAGGCATATGTTATCCCAAGAAAGTATGTTTTCAGAGAGCCTTCATTACTAAGATGATTTCACCATTGTAAGATAAACGGTGGAGTGATCTATGATTTTTGACATTAGAAAATAAAGGAGTGGATCTAGGCAACTATTTAGGCTCCCAAGGCACAAAGCTATGAGATAGATAAAATATAAGCCATCAGTGTCGTTGTAGTAGTAGTTGGCATGGTGAATAATAAGTATAATATTGCTTGGAGCAAAGCAAATGGTAAAAATCACAAGAACAAGGAGACTCGCCTTAACATAGCACAGCCATCTGTCATCATATGCATTAAGTGTCTGAATGATGGCTGTATAGCAGTAGATAATGACCACAAAGGGAATTAAGAATCCAAAGAATGCCAAGGAGATGAAGTAGTAGAGTTGGAAGGGAGACGAGGACTCGCATGTGTTGTGGACATCATGGCAGGTTTTGATGTCTTGCTGGACAAGATAATACTCTTGCTTCAGGATGAAGAATGGCAGCATGTATAAGAAAACTGTTGCCCACACAAATCCACACGTTAGGAAGGCATAGTAACGCTTGGGCAGCACTCGGTAAGTAAAAGGATGGACAATGGCTAGGTAGCGGCTGATACTAATGCAGGCGAGGAGCAGAATGGAGCAATACATGTTGCCATAGAAGATGACTGTGGTGGCCCGGCACATGACTTCTCCAAATACCCAGTTGTTCCCATTGAGGTGATAAGCTATCTTAAAGGGCAGTGTGACACAAAAAAGAAAGTCTGCAATGGCCAAGTTGGTGTAGAAGATGGTCATACAGATGGATCTGGTCCTGAAGAAGAGCCTCCACAGGGTCACCACATTGGCTGGCACACCTACGACAAACACCAGGATGTAGATGGCAGGTATCAGTTTGGTACTTAAGGAGCTTCTCAGGTACCCCATGGTAGCATTATTCACCTGAAGATTTGAAACACTTTCTTCGGGACACTTGAATTTTATAGTTGTGGTAGTTCCTGTCCAGCCTTCTATGGCAGAAAGGGGGAACTCTTCAAAAGAATTTGAGGGAGCCCCTCGGAAGGTCTTGATAGGTAAGGTCGGTTCTGCCAAGTTGTGTATGTCATTTTCCATGCCTGCAATTGAGAAGACGTATTAACATGGATCATTGCTGGGCCCATAGCTATGGTTCAGGAGATAGGAAAACTAAGTCTTAGGCTGCATAATTTCTGTAGTTTTAGAATTGAGTATCATTTTCATTTTTAAAAATCACTATAAATCAGGTACGGGAATGCATTTAGTATGTATCATATGCCCCAGCACTGTGATAGCCCATGCAGGAACAAAAACCAGAAGGCAACTCCTTGAGTGTAGGAAGTTTATAATGCTGCCAGAGGAAACAGCAACAGCACATCAGACCTCCACAGGCCAATGTCATATTCACTATAAGTCGTACAGGTATTCAGACAGTGGTAAAAAGATTTAAAAGTTTAAGCAGAATATCAAGGAAAAAATGAATGTGAGCAAAGATGAGTGAGGCTCCTAAAGAGAAGGAAATTAATAGATGAGTAAGAATCTGGTAGGTGATATCTGGACAGAGACATAGAATAGGCTGGTATGGGATGTGGGAATGTCAGATAATTCAAATGTTTATTGCATACTAATATGCCAGTGATAGAGTTTTAAATAAACTCTATGGCCTGTCTTCAACTGTCAGACTAGTGGAGAAGATGCACAAAATCTTGCTGTCAGATGCTCTTAAGGCACACCTGAGAAGTGAAAGAGGAGGTTACAGCTAAATCTCTGAAGGGCCTCTAAACTACACTAAGAAGTGATGGCCCATTCCTAGATGCTGGGGTTATGCACAGACAAAATTGTGAATAGAGGCATAGCCAATATGGTAGACAGTATGATGGGCCCCCAAGATTCCTCCTGCTATAGCCTGGAACCTTTGAATATGTTATTTTATATGACAAAAGGGACTTTACAGATGTGATTTAGGATCTTCAGATGGCATGAGTATCCTGGATTGGCTGAGTGGGCCAGATGTAATCATAAGACTCCTTATAAGAGGGAAGCAAGAGAGTCATTGTCAAATATTTAAAGATGATGTGCTGCTGGCTTTGACGATGAAAGAAGGAGCCATAAATGAAGGAATGCGTGTGACTTCTAGAAGCTGAAGAAGGCAAGAAAATAGATTCTCTCCTCAAGCCTCCAGAATGAACACAGCCTTGCTGACACCTTGATTTCAGGACTGCTGGCCCCCAGAAATATAACTTGTATTGTTTTAAGCCACTAAGTTTGTGGTAATTTGTTCTAGCAGCAATAACATGCTAATATAACCCTGATTTGATTTACATTTAAGATGACTTCGGTGACAGTGTAGAAAACAGATGGAAAAGGTAAGAAATTAGAGGGAAGGAGGACTGAGTTGGAGCCTACTGTAGTCATTCAAACTCAGGGTGGACAGTAACAAATTAGAGGAATGGCAGTAGAAAAGCAAAGATGAACACTTGGAACTGATGGTGGCTCCAAGGAACTTGGCATCCAGTGGGCTCCAGTGGCAATGAGGGAGAGGCAGGAAGCAAAAATGACTTGGAAGTTTCTGCTTTAGAAGATGTTGGGGAAGGGGATGGGACAGGGACAAAAGTAGAGGAGACAAAGGAAGAAAAATGAGAAGATGGAAATAGAGAATGTAGTCAAATAACATCATAACATTGTATGGGTGACAAATGATAATCACACCATACAATGCGTAGGACTGTTGAATCACTGTGTTGTTCACTTGAAACCAGTGAAACCAAAGTCAACTATACTTCAATTTAAAAAACTAAAGAAAGGGGATCCCTGGGTGGCGCAGCGGTTTAGTGCCTGCCTTTGGCCCAGGACGCGATCCTGGAGGCCCGGGATCGAATCCCACGTCGGGCTCCCAATGCATGGAGCCTGCTTCTCCCTCTGCCTATGTCTCTGCCTCTCTCTCTCTCTCTCTGTGACTATCATAAATAAATAAAAATTTAAAAAAAACTAAAGAAAAAAATTGGAAATGGAACAAAAAGGAATAGAGACATAACATTATTCTATGTCCTATAAATGGTGGGCATTGGTTGGCAGGCTAATTTTAATAATCCTAATACAAGAGCAGTTTCAAAAGCACAATAGACCTTAATACTCAAACCTAATTCTCATTATATTATTCTTCCATAAATTAGTCTTTGATATGTACAGAAAGTAGATCCTCTGAAATTTCTGAGATAGACCTTGATGCTGAATACAAACGTCATACGAATTTAAAAATGCCATTGCTCTGCCAGTTAGGTCTTTTCATATGACCTCTGAATTCTTACATGTTGAATACTTGGGGTTAGTGATGAGTAAGGTGGTTCCCATTTAAAGCCAGTTTCTCTTCCTGCTTTAATCTCTAGCAGTTCGCCCCCAGGTGAAATTGAAGCCTTCCTCATAACCCTGAGATTGCACAAACAGAATTCAGTGTATAAAACAGTGTTGCCTGAACAAGTAGGGACAGGGAATTGGTCAGGTGTCATTTAAGGGAAGATAGACTAAGGAAAAAAAAATCTGAATAGTGTTCTTCTGTGCCTGTGATCTTTGAAAGTGTGTGGCATGTCACTTGAGTTCAGCCACACGAATCCTTTCTCGGGTTTGCATTTTGGAAAATGCTTAAATTTGACATCACCCATAGAGAAGTGCCTTGGAAAGTAGGCACAAAGCTGGAAGACAGTGGCTGGGGAACATGGTGTACGAGATATTTCCTTTCAAGATCTGATAAGAGAGTTGTTGATACGAAGTGTTTGTTAGTTTTCAGAAAATTCCTGTGGTTGAGCAAGACATGGTGCCTAAAAGCATGGTAAACAGTGACTCTGTGAAAAAGTCTTGATTCTTTTTTCCATGAGAATTCCAGATATGGTTCAGTGTGAACAAGTCTTTTATTCCTTAGAGAGTAGTGTGACTTAATAGTCCTCACTGTTAAATTTTACATAGTTTTTAAAAATTTCATTTTAATACATTTCTTTCATTTCTTAATACAGGCTTATATTTGGCATAATGTTTCTGAAATGTTTTTAACTTGGGATAAGGCCTTAGACAGAGGACCAGACTTCACCCTCTAGATGATGGGTTCTTCGCTCACATTTCTCCCACCCTACAGAAGAAAGCACATGCACTGCCCATTCCTTTGTCACCTTTAAATGACCCCTGTTCACCTCTACGAACCACCAGAACCACCAACGTCTTGCAGGAACCGCCACCAACATCTTGCAGGAACCCCCTTCACAAACTTTTCTTTTCCTTTTCTGCTGTCTTTGGGTTCATTTACAGCCAGAAGGAACAGTTAGTTATCCTATTCACGAATCTCACATGTGCTCTTGCCCTTAGTGGGTTTTCTTAGCGCTTCCCTACAACCACCTTGGTGATTGAAGCAACATTCTTTATGGAGGTTTGGTTTTGTTACATTTTTATTTATTCTACTTCATCATCTTCTCTCACCCCAGTTCTCCCGCTCCTAACAACATTGGCTGGAAAACAACCTGATAGTAAAAGAATTATGGGTAGATCTATGACAAACTGGTTTGTTTTGGAGTAAGCAGGAGGCTGACATTGTGTTGAGTAGAAGAGGAAATAAGTTAAGAGTTGAATAAAAGTATTTGGGAGATATCATTTCTAAAACTAAAAAATCTTGTGAATGTAGGGAAGACTCCATGATAAAACAAAGTCAAAAAAAAAAAAGGTATGTCATTAAGAAACATTGACTTGTCAGCCTTACTCATTCTAAAGAAAGACCACTCATTCTTTCTGGGAATATTTATGTTTCTCTCATTTTGCTTCAAGAGAATGTATAAACATAGGATTTTTTTAAATATCTGGAAAAGGTACTATTTTTGCTGAATCAGAGGAAATTCTTAGAAAATCAGAATCTTCTCACAAAGAAATTTGATTCTTAATTCTAGAGATCTAAAATCTTGACCGTGCCACAAATTTTTAAATCTAAGCAGAAAGGACTAGTCTTTGATAAAATGTGAATAGAGTAAACAAGCCATAGCTATCCACTTCCATGATGCTACCTTTTCTTTTTAAGGTTTTATTTATTTATTCACGAGAGACACAGAGGCAGAGACTCAGGCAGAGGGAGAAGCAGGTTCCCTGTGGGGAGCCCGATGCGGGACTCGATCCCGGGCCTCCGGGATCACGCCCTGGGCCAAAGACAGATACTCAACTGCTGAGCCACCCAGGCACCCCTGATGCTACCTTTTAATAACAAACATTAAAGTGTGCCTTTTGGGTTGCAGATTGCGTGACACCCAAAGAAAATTGGATGCAGTTCATTCTCGTTACACAAACCAGCACCCCCAACACACCCCATGAGAAAAGAGCTTACCGCTTTGACAAAAAGTGAGTGACAGAAGCATCAGTCCAGCAGCTACAAAGATGAGGGCTTTCATCTTGGTGACCTGAATCCCGTTTCCCAAACGTTATTAAATGTATAAACTAGGGAGTCCGGCTGCACATCAGTTTCTTGTGTTAACAGCAAATGGAAACATCGTTCTCTCCTTAGAATGTGCTGTCCTGTGCTCTGCAGGCTGGGAAGCTTGCCCGGGTCCTCTGGAGGGAAAGGGTGTGACAGGACTCGTTGCAGTGCGCATGACTCAGGCTGAGCCTCTGAACACATTACTTTATCCCTGGAGAAAATCCTTTAACTCTTACCCACCCCTAATAATCTGTTCTGAGTAGATGCTGGAAGGTAATAGACAGTCCTTTACAGAAGTAAGCTGATGATGGATGTTGAGTAGCAGTTAGTTTTGACTCTGTCACCTATCTCATTTTTATGCATTTAAAAAACACTGTTCCAGGGGGTAATTTCTACTCAGTAATGAAGCTGTCAGAAATTATCCTTTCCTTATCCTTCCAGCTCTTTCGAATCTTAATGCTTAAACTCATTACATAATTATAAATCAAATGAATCGTGAAAAGCAAGAATTTTTTAGGAAGTGAAATTTAAGAGCTTGATTACTTTGAAAATTCTCCATCAGTGTCACATAGGTCTGAATTTGTCATTACTCCTTGGCCAGATTTGGTTTTATGGTGTTTTGTTTTGCCATAACTCAGCACACTCTGAGCTGTTGGTTAGTTAACTCTATAGGATCAGGCAAGGGCGGCAGCAGGCGAGGGGAGAGGGGTGGCGGGTGGAGGCGGTGTTAAATAATACTTGGTTAAACTGAAATCATGATACAGCATTGAATGCAGAGGACTCTGTTTATTCCATGGTTGTTGGTGAGGTCTATAATGAGCTTTTTTTTTTTAATTGTGGCAAAATATGTGTAACATACAATTTACTATCTTAATCATTATTAAATGTACAACTCAGTAGTGTTTAGTACGATCATGTTGTTGCGCAACATATTAGCTTTTATGAGTAGTTATTTCCTGGAGGATATGATTTAACATGTAGTAAAAAGAGAAAAAAAAAAGAACTGCATTGTAACAGATTTTTCTGTAATTAACACAACTTAAGGTTAAACCCTAAGCCAAACAATCCAACAGCATTTTGCATATAAAATGTAGCAAGAATCAGAAAATACAGGTTTCACATGAGACTTACAGGCTATGGGATAAGCCAGGAAGGAGTTGATCTGTGTAAACTTTTCACACTTGATTAAATTTCATCACACCAAGAGTTTTACAATCAAAACTCAGTGTCTAAGAGCACTCCAGTAGCTCAGTGGTTGAGTGTCTGCCTTTGGCTCACTCAGGTCATGATCCTGGGGTCCTGGAATCAAGTCCTGCATCAGGCATCTCACAGAGAGCCTGCTTGTCCCTCTGCCTATGTCTCTGCCTCTCTCTGTGTGTCTCTCATGAATGAATGAATGAATAAATAAATAAATAAATAAATAAATAAATAAATAAATATAAATAAATAAATAAAATCCTTTTAACAAAATTCAGCATCTAATATTTTAGCTACATAATATATGATAACAGAAGCTGAGATTGAAAGCTATTTTATTGTGGAAATAATAACCAAAATGCCACAGAATATTGAAAAGCGTACTTTTTTGTATAATTAAAATTGTCTAGGACTCATCAAAATTCAGGAATTTATGACTTAATTTACAGATGACCTAGCTTCTCTTTACTGAATCCATTTGTAGCTCATACATTGAATCTGGCTCTTAAGCTAGAGATGGAGCCCTGACCATCCTATAAATACAGTTCCAGTCTTTTGGTAAACAATGTAAAAAGGAGACATTAAACTGGTAGTGTTTGGTTTTCACTCCTGGTTTTGTATTTAACTCTAGCATCCTTTAGTGTAATGAGTCATGATTTAAACTGTTGACTTAAATTCATTTGATTTGTCAAGTTTCTCTTTGGTTTGCTGTATAAAACAGATTCTTTAAGCTTTTAAGTGGGACTGTAACTTCCCTCTCATCTGGGCAAAAGTTTGTATGGTGCTTCTTCTACGGTGATAAGTTACAAAGGAATTTGGTAAATAGTCTTCAAAAAACTGAGACAGATGTAAATGAACTTGTATGGAATGTAGTTTTTAGGCTGTACTTGGGAGGAGTGTTTAGGTTCTCTTTGACCCTGGAAACAGAAAAAAAGAGCTCCTTCTCCCCTGTCTCATCAGTCTTCCTCTAGTCTTCAACTTCCGATCTTCCTGATTGAATCCTTCCCATCCATTCTCTTAAGAAATGGAGACTCTCGCTCACAGGTGACAGTTCCCATGTGGCAGATCTAGCTAGAGATGATTGCGGAAGCAGGTGCCAAGCCCTCCACAATGGTCTCCATTTGCCCAAGATGTTACAGGATGAAATAATAGGTTCTTTGTCTCATTTTCAGAGTGCTTTCCACATACATTATTTCAAGTTAGTCTCTGAGGGGAATAGTATTGAAGCCTGCTGGAGGAGCTGGTGAATGTTCTTTCTCCTTCCTGCAACCCATCCATCCATCCATCCCTCATGAGTCCAAAATGATGGAACTGGCTCTCCATAGTTCTGATGAGCTACTTTCTGTTCATCACAGCTTGCTTTTGCATTTAGCACATGACACTTTATACTACACATGGGCAAATGTCATCACTATTTAAAAATGTCTCTTCTTCCCTAAAACTATTTAATTTCTACTGAAAATATTTACTTGTAATCTTGGGCAAGTTTATGTAATCCTGACAGTTGCTGTCTGGAAGTCCCATTTAATTACATTATATGCCAGCACCATATTTGTAGTTTGATCATCAGATTCAACCCAAAAGTTAAAAAAGATAATTCAATACCTTTTCATTGCTTTTATCACTTCCATTCTGTAGCTGTTCTTAGCTACTATTTCTCCCTCTGTAATTCATCCCTACTGTAAATTAATCCTTCCTTATTTCTAGATCATGTATCTATAGCTATTATTGCCCTGATCATGTTATAATTATTTTTTGATAAATATATCTTTTCTACTAAACTGTTAGCTCCTTAAGGGTTGCATTTTTGTTTGGTTGGTTTTTTACTCTGGTTTTGTCTCTATGTCTGATAAATGTCAATTATCATTGTGTTTCCCCCAAATTTAAAGTATCCTGTGGTACTCCAGACCACCTTGGGAGCTACAGTTAGTGATTAAGGGAGAGAATACTCAGAAAAGGCTTTTGAATTAAGGCCAGAGTGGTAAGAAAGAATCAACAGCCACACAGCTGGGCTAGAATGTTAGGATCTGAAGGAGGCTGATGTGCAGGTCTGGGATAGGCAGTAGAGGAGCATGAGTGAAGCCTGCAGGACTGGATTGTTAGATCCCTACAGTCCCTGGGAAGGGAGTTTCGTTTTCTTCTAAGTGCAGGGGGAACTCTGTGGAGGAGTTTAAGCAGAGGGATCAGCTGCTTCTCTGTAGAGGACCACTATAGTTGAGGGCAGTAATGGAAGCAACAAAAACAAATAGACCAACACACCTGTCAAGGTGAGAGATGATGGTAGGCTGGACTAAAGGGGTGGCAGTGGAAAAGGGAGGAGAGGTTGGATTTGGGGGTTATTTCATTAATAGTTTGTACAGTATATGACAGTTCTTGGTAGCTGCTGAATGAGAGTTTGTGGAAACTATTAAAATGGCTCTTGAAAAAAAAATAAAAATAAAAAATAAAAAAATAAAATGACTCTTGAAAAGCAGTTATTGATTCTGTTTAATCATCATTCATTGTTCTTTCTTTTATTCTATGACAATACTCCCAGGACTCTGAAAGTGTTTCCAAAGTTCTTTGGCTGGATGAGATACAGCATGCAGTCAATGAGGCCAACATGGACAAGGACAAAGCAAAACAGTGTAAGCCCTCACCCCCTTTTGCTAGCCCAGTGCGCCTTGCTGGTTATGCCACTGAATTAATATTTTTTATTTTAGTAATTTTTTAAATTATGTAGTTTAAATTTCTGACAAGACTTGGACCCTTAGTGATTTCAGTTGTTGAGTGTATGTACAAAAACAAGATTCATTGTGGTGACACTGTTTTCAGTGATTAGATGCTAACTCTGACAAAATCTGAGGATGTTACTGAATGAATCCAGTAAGCAAAAAGTGGTTTCTAAACTCTCAAATTTATAGTTTAATCAAGCCCTGTTTTAATTTTAATTCTTAGGACACAAGCCCAGTCTGCTTAGTAATGCCTGTCCTCCTACCATGCCTTCCATTGTATTAGTCAGGATTTTTCAGAGAAACAGAGCTATATATATCTTTTTCCTCTGGAAAAAAAAAGCAGAGCAACATATAAAGACATGTATCTGTGTATATATGTGTGTTTGTGAGTGTGTAGATAAATAGTTGTTTCTCTGAAAAGTATGTCATACCTATATACACACACATATATAGTGAAAGAGAAAGTAGGAGATTTATTTTAAGTAATTGGCTCATGCAGTTGTGGAGAGGCTGACGAGTCCAAAACCTGTGGGCAGGCCCTAGAGGACAGATGGCAGCACTTAATCATGGAAGCTAAATGGGTGTGGTTACTGAAATGGACAGCAGAGTCAAAGCAGTCGTCAGAATAACCTGACTCACAGAGACCAACAGAATTGGCTAATTGACCCTGGCATTCCTAGAAGTGAAATAGACCATCTACTAAATTCATAATTGACTTGTACTAGTGGAAGAAGAGTTCTAGGTCAAATGAATGGAAGTGTAACTCAAATAACAAGAGCAAAGATTACATTAAATAGCCGCTAAATCAATTCCTAGACTGAAGCCATTTATAGACGAAGAACCCCTTGAATGAAGGGGACACCAGGTCCTCTTGAGAACAAACAACTACACTTTCAAAATCTTACATAGTTCACCTTTTGTCCAGACTTCCCCTAAAGAAGTCTACAATCTCTACTGTGGTGGCTGTGCTGAGAGGAAAAGACACAATCAGACTTCTCAGGGATTACAGGACATTGGCTCTGAACTGACATTACTCATGGGAAACGCAAAATGTCCCTGGGGTCCACCAGTCAGAGTAGAGGCTAACAGAGGTCAAGTGATCAGTGGGGTTTTATCTCATTCTCTCTCCTGCTGAGTCCTCAAACCAGTCTTGATTACTTCCCGAGGTCTAGAATGTATAAGTGGAATAGACAT